AGCTTTTATAGGTCCTGAGATGAAAGTGCGTGACAGACGCACACACAGACACACAGATACACAGACGCACAGACACACAGACACACAGATACACGGACACACAGACAACCTCTCGTCAATATGCGTTTTTTGCATTGCACTGCTGCAAAAAACGCATAAAAAACCTCTGGGCCCCTCGAATTGTGACATGTTATCCATAATACTACTAGTTATTGCTTTTCAGATCTAGCACCGGGAGATTACATCTCTTTTTCTATGAAATCTACAAACATATACGACATAGTGACTAGTGCTTTCACCATCAACAGTGCACACTTTTTAATTACTACTTTTTGTCGGAACCTTTTTCATAGCCATAAAATATTCAAATTTCTATTATTCTAACTTTTCGCAAGCAGTCGTTTTCCTATTTTTGCCGAAATCTCCTTCTTCCTCCCCACCCCGCTCCCCTTCCTGCCCTCTCAATCCCTTTTTCTGATCCTTCTAAAAAAATAGTTTCACCCGTAAAGTTCGGTCTGCGTTTACAGCTAAGGGATGAAACAGACGGCTTGCATCCAAACATGTCTTCTTACATATGACATTTTAGTTTATTCTCTTCGATTCTGCTATTTCGATGCATTCCAGCAGAACCACGAAAACTATTTTTTTGACATTTTTCAAAGCAAGCCAAGCAGGGCGTGGAACAAAGATAAGAGATGTATAACATTTAATAGACCGAAACATTTCTTACCAATTTTTTTTTAGAAATTTAAAAAAAAAAACGATTTTTAAAAAATCTAAAAAATCTTTTTATAAAAATAATTCTTAAAAAACTTAAAAATTATAATTCTTTTCCATTTTTTCTTTTTCTTTTTTCCTTCTTTTTCCTTCTTCTTTCTTTCTTTACATTATTTTCTCTTCCACTACTGCTAACTTTCAAATAAAGCACAACCTGTTGAAGATTTTCTGAATGTGTGCCCTCTTGCATGTGCTCATCGAGCACTCCCTGTTCGCTCAAATTTGACGATTCGCTTTGCTCCTTTCTCACCCTCTCTAGCACATTGTAAGCGCCAAGATCTTTCAACACCGTCTCATTCTGCTGCCAATTTCTGAGAAAAAAGTCAGATTAACGGGGTGAATCAGCAGCTTTGGCGGATCCAGAGGGGTCTTTCACCTTCCCCCCCCCCCCCCCCCCCCCCCCCCCCCCCCCCCCCCCCCCCCCCC